CTGTGGGGGGTGAATAGGTTTTCGGATCGTCGGATTCCGCCGAAAAAATTGTTCGGATTGTGAATCTAGCGAATATTTTACACGGATTTGCGGATCTGTTAGTTGCTGTAACGTTTGTAAAACAACATCGGAGCAACGTCGATCTTGATTATAGGTTGTCGACGTCGCACCCTTCCGTTCTACCAAATTTCAAAAAACGTCAAAAACCCTTCAAAAAACTTTCCGTTCTACCAAATTTGAAAAAAAAAACGTCGTGTGCCCGGTGAGATGTTTGTGACTTACCGAAAGTAAATTTTTGTTCTGCTGTGTTGCTACATCCATCTCGTTTCAGATCAAGATAAGTCCCGTTAGGCTGACCGCAGGAATTCACTGCTTTGTCGTAAAAATATAAAGATCCGGCAACTGTCTGTTTTAAACGGTGGTTATCTTCCTTTTCGAAATTTAATCCTATATCGTTTTTGCCTTTATATACAAACCAACGATTTTTGTATCTGTCTGGATTATCATAAAGGGACGCTAAGGTCCCTCTAGTGTCTATATTTTGTAACAATTCTGTATCAAGATAACGAAAGCTCGCACTAACATTCAAGCAGTTATTAACCATTTCAGCCCAATAACGTCTCGCGATATTATTTTCCAAAAACATTTCTCCTACTGCAATACATTTTCCAGACTCAGTATGCCTAAGAAAAAGGCCTTTGCAATCTAGAAACAGAAAGTTAGCATTCAAAAGCCTGTGTTGGTGTAGTGTACTCAGGTGAATATGATATTTGTGGTGTTACTCTGAGTGTATATCCACACCGGGCGAGCTTGGGCTAGTATTCCAAAGGTCGTAGGTTCGAATCCCACCGTGGCCGGGCATATTTTTCAAGCTCGCCCGATGTGGATATACACTCAGAGTAACACCACAAATATCATTCAAAAGCCTATTAGTATATATATGAAAAAAAAACATTCTCATGCAGTTATCCAATTGGAATTTCAAGTTGAATTTCTGTGTACACTTAATGCCGCTTCTTTGTAGGTTTACATGGTGATAAATATAAATAATGGCGAAAGTTTGGATCTTACAATCGTCTGACTATATTGCACGTTATAGGCTACGTCACATCAACAAAAGAATCTTACATGAAATTTGGCACCATCTTGGCTGCCGCGTACGTTTCATTGTCTTTCAAGTTTCAATCCTCTTAATATGTTTATGCCAGAGACAATCCTTGCCGTTACCTTTTATATGTTATTCCATGCAGTTAGTATTTTATGTACAAGTTTTCGATGGTAGCGATGCAACTATCAATATAAGGAGAATTTCGACGTTTCGAGCGAAGGTAACTCCAGACGTCGAAATGGACCATTCCTCAATTAACCAAAATTTTGATCTCAACAAGTCTAGACAAAATACCATCATAGCTTGAAAGAACATCACAAAATTAGTAATATTGCCAAGTTTCGTTGCGAAATCAGTTGTAAAATGCGGATAATATAGGCTAAAAAGTGTATTAGATTTCACTATACTTTAAGCCACGACGGTCTGTGGCTAAAAAGTATACCAGATTTCAGTATACTTTTTGGCCACGGCGGTCTGTGGCTAAAAAGTGTATTAGATTTCACTATCCTTTTAGCCACGGCGGTCTGTGACTTAAAAGTGTACTAGATTTCACTATACTTTTTAGTCACGGCGGTCTGTGGCTAAAAAGTGTATTAGATTTCACTATACTTTTAGCCACGGCGGCCTGTGGCTAAAAAGTATACCAGATTTCAGTATACTTTTTAGCCACGGCGGTCTGTGGCTAAAAAGTGTATTAGATTTCACTATACTTTTAGCCACGACGGTCTGTGGCTAAAAAGTATACCAGATTTCAGTATACTTTTTGGCCACGGCGGTCTGTGGCTAAAAAGTGTATTAGATTTCACTATCCTTTTAGCCACGGCGGCCTGTGGCTAAAAAGTATACCAGATTTCAGTATACTTTTTAGCCACGGCAGTCTGTGGCTAAAAAGTGTATTAGATTTCACTATACTTTTAGCCACGACGGCCTGTGGTTAAAAAGTATACCAGATTTCAGTATACTTTTTGGCCACGGCGGTCTGTGGCTAAAAAGTGTATTAGATTTCACTATACTTTTAGTCACGGCGGTCTGTGGCTAAAAAGTGTATTAGATTTCACTATACTTTTTAGCCACGGCGGTCTGCGGCTAAAAAGTGTATTAGATTTCACTATACTTTTAGCAACAACGGTCTGTGGCTAAAAAGTATACCAGATATCGTTATACTTTTTGGCCACGGCGGTCTGTGGCTAAAAAGTGCATTAGATTTCACTATCCTTTAGCCACGGGGGTCTGTGACTTAAAAGTGTATTAGATTTCACTATACTTTTAGTCACGGCGGTCTGTGGCTAAAAAGTGTATTAGATTTCACTATACTTTTAGCCACGGCGGCCTGTGGCCAAAAAGTATACCAGATTTCAGTATACTTTTTAGCCACGGCGGTCTGTGGCTAAAAAGTGTATTAGATTTCACTATACTTTTAGCCACGACGGTCTGTGGCTAAAAAGTATACCAGATATCGTTATACTTTTTGGCCACGGCGGTCTGTGGCTAAAAAGTGTATTAGATTTCACTATACTTTTTAGCCACGGCGGTCTGCGGCTAAAAAGTGTATTAGATTTCACTATACTTTTAGCAACGACGGCCTGTGGCCAAAAAGTATACCAGATTTCAGTATACTTTTTGGCCACGGCGGTCTGTGACTTAAAAGTGTATTATTAGATTTCACTATACTTTTAGCCACGGCGGCCTGTGGCTAAAAAGTATACCAGATTTCAGTATACTTTTTAACCACGGCGGTCTGTGGCTAAAAAGTGTATTAGATTTCACTATACTTTTAGCCACGACGGTCTGTGGCTAAAAAGTATACCAGATTTCAGTATACTTTTTGGCCACGGCGGTCTGTGGCTAAAAAGTGTATTAGATTTCACTATCTGTGGCTAAAAAGTGTATTAGATTTCACATACTTTTAGCCACGGACTTAAAAGTGTATTAGATTTTTTAGCCACGACGGTCTGTGGCTAAAAAGCATACCAGATTTCAGTATACTTTTTGGCCACGGCGGTCTGTGGCTAAAAAGTGTATTAGATTTCACTATGCTTTTAATCAAGGCGGTCTGTGGCTAAAAAGTGTATTAGATTTCACTATTCTTTTTGCCACGACGGTCTGTGGCTAAAAAGCATACCAGATTTCAGCATACTTTTTGGCCACGGCGGTCTGTGGCTAAAAAGTGTATTAGCTTTCACCATACTTTTAGCCACGACGGTCTGTGGCCAAAAAGCATTCCAGATTTCAGTATACTTTTTGGCCACGGCGGTCTGTGGCTAAAAAGTGTATTAGATTTCACTATACTTTTAGTCAAGGCGGTCTGTGGCTAAAAAGTGTATTAGATTTCACTATACTTTTTGCCACGGCGGCCTGTGGCTAAAAAGTATACCAGATTTCAGTATACTTTTTAGCCACGGCGGTCTATGGCTAAAAAGTGTATTAGATTTCACTATACTTTTAGCCACGACGGTCTGTGGCTAAAAAGCATACCAGATTTCAGTGTACTTTTTGGCCACGGCGGTCTATGGCTAAAAAGTGTATTAGATTTCACTATACTTTTAGTCAAGGCGGTCTGTGGCTAAAAAGTGTATTAGATTTCACTATACTTTTAGCCACGACGGTCTGTGGCTAAAAAGCATACCAGATTTCAGTATACTTTTTGGCGACGGCGGTCTGTGGCTAAAAAGTGTATTAGATTTCACTATACTTTTAGTCAAGGCGGTCTGTGGCTAAGAAGTGTATTAGATTTCACTATACATTTAGTCAAGGCGGTCTGTGGCTAAAAAGTGTATTAGATTTCACTATACTTTTTGCCACGGCGGTCTGTGGCGAAAAAGTGTATTAGATTTCACTATACTTTTTGCCACGGCGGCCTGTGGCTAAAAAGTATACCAGATTTCAGCATACTTTTTGGCCACGGCGGTCCGTGGCTAAAAAGTGTTTTAGATTTCACTATACTTTTAGCCGCGACGGTCTGTGGCTAAAAAGTATACCAGATTTCAGTATACTTTTTAGCCACGGCGGTCTGTGGCTAAAAAGTGTGTTATATTTCACTATACTTTTAGCCACGACGGTCTGTGGCTAAAAAGCATGCCAGATTTCAGTATACTTTTTGGCCACGGCGGTCTGTGGCTAAAAAGTGTATTAGATTTCACTATACTTTTAGTCAAGGCGGTCTGTGGCTAAAAAGTGTATTAGATTTCACTATACTTTTTGCCACGGCGGCCTGTGGCTAAAAAGTATACCAGATTTCAGTATACTTTTTAGCCACGGCGGTCTGTGGCTAAAATGTGTATTAGATTTCACTATACTTTTAGTCAAGGCGGTCTGTGGCTAAAAAGTGTATTAGATTTCACTATACTTTTAGCCACGGCGGCCTGTGGCTAAAAAGTATACCAGATTTCAGTATACTTTTTAGCCACGGCGGTCTGTGGCTAAAAAGTGTATTAGATTTCATTATACTTTTAGCCACGACGGTCTGTGGCTAAAAAGCATACCAGATTTCAGTATACTTTTTAGCCACGGCGGTCTGTGGCAAAAAAGTATACCAGATTTCAGTATACTTTTTAGCCACGGCGGTCTGTGGCTAAAAAGTGTATTAGATTTCACTATACTTTTAGCCACGACGGTCTGTGGCTAAAAAGTATACCAGATTTCAGTATACGTTTTGGCCACGGCGGTCTGTGGCTAAAAAGTGTATTAGATTTCACTATCCTTTTAGCCACGGCGGTCTGTGACTTAAAAGTGTATTAGATTTCACTATACTTTTAGTCACGGCGGTCTGTGGCTAAAAAGTGTATTAGATTTCACTATACTTTTTGGCCACGGCGGTCTGTGGCTAAAAAGTGTATTAGATTTCACTATACTTTTAGCCACGGCGGTCTGTGGCTAAAAAGTGTATTAGATCTCACTATACTTTTAGCCACGACGGTCTGTGGCTAAAAAGTATACCAGATTTCAGTATACGTTTTGGCCACGGCGGTCTGTGGCTAAAAAGTGTATTAGATTTCACTATCCTTTTAGCCACGGCGGTCTGTGACTTAAAAGTGTATTAGATTTCACTATACTTTTAGTCACGGCGGTCTGTGGCTAAAAAGTGTATTAGATTTCTCTATACTTTTAGCCAGGACGGTCTGTGGCTAAAAAGTATACCAGATTTCAGTATAGTTTTTGGCCACGGCGGTCTGTGACTTAAAAGTATATTACATTTCACATTACTCTTAGCCACTGCGGTCTGTGGCTAAAAAGTGTATTAGATTTCACTATACTTTTAGCCACGGCGGTCTGTCATGCTTAGACCTTATCGACGTGCGCGCGTTATAGCCTTTTTTAATTTGGTCGCGTTAGCTTTATATTATTATAACTTTTGCCACAAAGTCGAAATATATACAACAAAAGATAATTAAATTACAAAAAACAAAGACACCCTAGCTGTTATGCCAGTGTGTATGCAATGAAACTGTCTATCCGGGAATATAGCCATATAAACAATGATTGCTGGTGGTTGGATGGTGGTTGGATGGTTGCAATGACTCGGCAAATTTTCCTTGATCGGCAAAATTCGCTTACGCCTGCGTTTCAGACGTGGAACTTTCATGTGTCGAATGCATTAAAGACAATAAATAATGAGGTAGTTCTGATGATTATCTATTGTTTTTGATGCATTCGGAACATGAAAAGTCCGACGTCTGAAGCGGGCCTTACAGACCTCCCCCGTTCCCATTCAAAGAGTTCTATAGAGTCGCTCCTGTTTCGGGATTCGCGACGCCATCTTGAATGTATTGTATTCACTGTTGTGTTGTGTCGTCGTGATCCCTGAAATGGCGCATTGACTGTCGATGGCCGGCCTAGGCTCCATAGGCTGGGACAAAATTCAAGATGTTGATCATGTTATAGAACCAACTGGTCAATATAGTTTGACCTCCTTGCATTAGGTTTATAGCCTGAACTCCGTATTCGGTTTGCCTCGTGGCATATAGGTTCTCAAATAAGTTCAAAGAATGAGCAAACATACACGAAATATGCCTAAAGAGCAAAGAACAAAAAGAAGCTTTCTGCTCTTTCTACCAGGCTGTTATGTACCGACAAGGCTCTCTTTATTAAACCAGATTACCGGAGCTTTAGAAACCATTTCCTCAGTAAGACAGTATGCCTTTCTCAGCACAAATCGCCGGATATAATGATGCAAATAAAGCCATACTGATTAGAATTAAAATGGTTGATAATCATGCATGGAGGTCGATAATAAACACAAGCAACTTACTGGTATCTAGTTAGAATAAACATCGTCTGAAACAACACGTTGATATGTATATCAGCCAAATAATTAGTTGAACCATTGTAATAGGCGCCGAGAAATACCATATCTTGTCCAAATTTGCAATAAGCAAGTGCATGGCGATCCATTTGATTTATATGTATATATCTTCATACTAACTCTCCTCATGGCCGCGAAGTGACTTGGTATAGCAGACTAGTCTTATATTCTTTGAGAAGTATTCTATATATCATCTTTGTCACTTTGTGTACATTTGAGTGGCTGTCGAGAAATTCAACCAAAGCTAAAGGTTTATATATAGCTTTATACTTACTATTGAAGTATGTCAAAAGAAGGATATGAAAACATGTGGCTTATCTCAAACAAAAGAACCGATTGAGGAGGCATTGGGGACTTTCCTGGTCATTCTTTACTTAGCATTGACTTATTATAGCATAACATTATACAGGTTGCATGTGTAAAAAAATAACGTTTGGAAATCAAGCTATTGTTGTTACACACAAGACTTATGCTCCTGGGGATTTAAAATTCATATGTTGGACAAAATTAAATTAAAGTTTTCAATATCTAGCCACGATCTAGTACGTCTATTGTCTTCTCATTGTTTTGAAAATCCGTTGCAGTATATTTATAACAACGTTAGTGCGTTCAGTAAAACAATGAGTGACAAGCTGAGAAAATTGAAATTTTCAAAGCACTAAATTTAGACAATAGAAATTACGATTACTGAATCATTCCTGGATGACAATGTTTAATAGGCTGAAATTGAGATCTACCGCGTCGTCGAAGTTGCCGCTCTCTGGGTCCTATAAACTCTGTGTAGTTAGACTGTTGGGCCCTTGCAAGCAAATCTAAGAACCAGAGATTCAACTATAACAGTTTAAGTCAAAGGAAATTTGAGGACTCTTTCTCAAAACTGTATAAAACATTAGGTTTTTCGCTGAAAAAGGTAAAAATTGCGCCAGTTTTGCCAAACATCATGGCGAGAAATCACGGACATTTTCGTTTCTCAGTTTCACATTACCACGCGCATCCACGCAACAATGGCTGTGCAATGCCCTGTGTTTATTATCAGGCGAGCGGTGTATTTTCAATATAGCATGCTATATATAAATCTTTGAATATATCGAATATATAAGAACATATATATTTATTTACCTATTGCTTTATATCTATTAGATTTTACTGTAGATTTGAATTTCCTCAATTCTTATATTTCACACAGAACTACATGATGTTGTTGTGAATATAGTAGTATGGTTCCATGGTTCCCATATAATTACAAAAAGGAGTCCCCTTTTTAGATCCAGTCTGAATAAATCATTACCATTATTATTATTACATGTTATAGAAATTAGATATGCTTCAAATGACCTAAAATCCAACAATTACGATCACATTATTTCTTCATTTTGAAACGTATGTTATTCCTACCCATCCAAGTCAATTTTAATCTTTTCAACGCGCTTTTGAAAATACATTTATAGTACTCGTATTGTTCGTCCATGTACCTGCAAATCTATCGCAATATATGAACAAAATTAAGTTTCTAAAACTATCAAAATATGTATGACCGGTTTATATTATGTATATTATGCAATTATAAGCTATTTTTTCACCTGAAATTTATGATCATATAGAGTGTGCCCCCTCCCCCCCCAAAAAAAAGAGAAAAATGCAGTAGCATCCAGTGTTCCAGATTTTACACAGCTGAACTTTTGACAGTATGATTATTAAAATTGGTCTACAGGCCTAGTAGAACCAATGGCAATGTTATGAATGTTTAAAATAAAATCTGATTCACCCAGTAGACCATTGAAATCATGCAGTTGTGTCAATAAGTTTGATGAGCCAGCTTACACTTCAAAAAGTCAAAATTCATCTCTTATAGATTGAATATTCAATGCATGCATATATAATAATTTTCTGAGTCAAAATTTGGAACACAGCTTTCATTTTCTTTTTGGACACGCGCTGTATATTGGACATAATTTGTTAATTACTCGAAATTTGCGTAGTCACTGAAGCCATCCAGGAACGCCATTATGGCAGTGTAACAGAACTCGTACTGTTTCTATAGAAGAAAACAATTTAATTGTTTTATGGTTCATTTTCTCATGCAGTTCATTTCATTCACAGATATGAGGAAGTTCCATAAATACTTACGGCATTTTCCACAAATTGAGGTCGTATTCCTCTGATGATTTTTATTGCTTGGAAGACATCCATTGCATGTTCAATTTTCATTCGTTCAAGAAGGTTTGAAATGGCAATGTACGTTCCTGTACGTCCAGCTCCATCACTGAAATGTATCAGTAAAAAGATTCTACATTTCGTCTGAACAATAACATAATGAGCTATTAAATGCACAGATATTTCAATATTCTATACAGGAGGAAATTAAAAAAGAAAGTAGAAAATATTTGTTGACTCAATGTATTTCCAAAGACTTCTCAAACAGAAGCTTATTATTTGCCATTTATTTCAATAAATTACGATAAAATTCGATTAGTGTTGTGATGGATGGGCTTCACTTCGCGTGCAGTTATCGCATGCATACAGTAAGAAATTAATATAGGAAAATAATGTTATTTTTTTAATTATAGCCTATATACGAGAAATGAATGTTAATTCTTTTCAAGAAATGTAATCCTCTAGTTTTGGTAGCCGAATGATAAAATTGTCTAAATGTAGCTTTCAAGCAATCCTACAAGATTTTAACACAAATAGACCATACCACTAATACTATTTTACCCAATGGCCTCGTTTTCATGTACATACTTACTTATGTTTTGTGCTTAGTAGGGTTGAAAATTACTTTGTTTTTGAGCCTAAGAACAGCAAGAGACAAATTCATCCAGGAAAATATGGGAATATAATCTTTATCTGCCCCTAACTGGCTAAAATAAGTTAACATGGAAACGAGGCCATTGGGAAAAAGAGAATAATCGGTAAGGTCCATTGAATTGAATTGAATTGAAAATTCAGATGGAGGGCAAGTAATGAGATTCTGACGAGATTCTTTTGTGACTTCGAAACGTCGAAGTTCTGCTTATATATTTTCAGGTATAGGTGGTGTGCAAGTTTCGTCACCGTTGCCATGTTGGATGACATTGGCAAAGGATTTCGCTTGTTTGCAATGCAAATATCATCCAACATAGCGAAAATCTCTTTGTCCTTTGAATCCAAGTCAATCGGTGGCTTTCGTCATGCTACAGTTCAGTTGCACATGATGTGCGACCAATCTCATGGGATGTTTTATGTTTTAAAACATAAAACATAAAACATCCCATGGGATGGTTGCACATCATGTGCAACTTAACTGTAGCATGACGAAAGACACCGATTGACTAATTTTCTTTCTTGTACAAGTGAAAACGGTTTTGAAGTGATCACCGTCAGCATATACTGTCCAAGATCGCTTAATGAAAGCAACCGACACTCGTGTAATTCGAGCTAGTAACGCAGGAGAATACATAAGAATATATTAAAATGTACCTGCATGCCACAATGATTGGTCGTTGACCGTAATTCTTTCTTGAATTCTCAACCAATGACGTCAGCGTGATGATGGCATCTGCGTCGGATGGTACGTAGTGGTCCGGCCAGTTCGTGTAGTGGAAAATGTTAACAACTTGACCGTCAGATAAATCCTGAATTGAAATTATTTAGTTTTATGACCTGTTTAGTTAGCGTTAGGATTACTGTTGGGGATTTGGTTATAATTGGGATTAAAGTATGGTTTTGGATAAAGGTTAATATTATCTGCAAATGCTTCCTCTTATTAATTCATTAAGATGACCCATATATGTACTCAATTATACGCCTTCATGCCAGGAATCGAACCTGAAGTCCTGAGATTTCAGTACAATTAAGTCCAGTTGACGAGCAATAATAGTAATGGCCTTGGGGTTAATGCTTGTAAACTGGACTCTTTTGCTCAGCTGATTAGGGCTCTCAGCGCTGCACTGGAATTGCAGGGCCCTAGCTTCAATTCCTGCCAAGGACCCTAGTTGCATATTTGCAGCTGCCCCTGGTCATGTCAAAATATGTACATAATATTAACTCGAAATTTCAATCTAGTTAAAAAAACTCTTGCACAGTTAGTTCTGACTTAAACCACTATACAAGCATAATCATTGAAAGTACACATACTGGATACGGTGCCAAGATAAATTTTCTAGTCCATATTCCATCGGATTCTTTTTCGGAGTCCAACTGAACTGTCAAGCTATCGTACTGTGTTGGTTCTCCTCTGTTGATCGGCCAGAATCTCGGGAACGGCTACAGCAAGTATACCAAATGGAAAAGTACGTCATTTATAGAGCGAAAGAGAATCTTGGATATTGATTTCTGAGATTAATTGAGTATGCTTAGAAGCCAGAGCGAGCCGACAATTGAAGAAAAACAAAACAAAATACGAAAACTGAAAACATCCAAAAAGCCCAAGGAATAGACTAAAACAAACCGTAAATTTAAATGGTTATATTTCGAACCTATATATCACACAGTGGATCGAAACAAACTGTGGCTATAAGATATATGCCCGGTGAAATCCGGCATTTCTTATAGCCATTAGCCACAAACCGTAGTACATGGTATGCCAAAATCCGAGGTAGTTTGTAGCATCGTGGCTATAACTATAAGGTACATCGAAACCTTGGGTAGTTTATAGCCACTGATTTCGGTGTTCGCAGTTTTACAACAACTAAACTTCGATTAATTGATTCATATGAATTGAAATGAGAACTGCTTGAATCCGAAATTCCTCAGTTTGAAACATTACAAACTCTATGGAAAATGGCAAAGAGAAAGCCTTCCTAAATAATGACAAATTCAAGCCAATATAAGCAGCTATAGATAATTATGTGGAAAACGCGATGATGATGATTCTGTAACAGGGTGAAAATATTTTAAAAAATTTTCCTTGTTTGGATATCTTTATTAGTCTTCAAGATTTTTAATTTTTCGGATTTTGTTCTATATTCTCATAACTGTTCCAGATATCGCGGTATATGTACGAGCATGGTATTTTTAGCATACCGTTCCATCTTCAACACAATTCAACAAAACAACAGTGGATGATTTTTGCGAATGAACCATTCGCCAAAAGTCGTTGATTGTATTTGGCAGAGGACTTTGTGTGGCGATGAAGTAGTTCCTTTCAAGGTGGCCCTTAAATGGAAGAAAACCGTTGGTGTAAATTATGGATTGGAGCTAAAACAGAACTAGTAAACGTAATAGAAAGAGTGCTTCGTTCTTGCACGATTATACAAAGAAGTGTATATGTTTAATTTCTCCGGCTATTCCGGTTTCCTCCTGTATTAAAGGGAAATGGCAATATATTTTTTGTTTTCTCATTTGAAAGAACTTTTGAAACTATTTAATAACTTCTTTTACCGATTCTTCATATCTTGCTTAGTTCTTGAAATATTTTCACTTGAAGTAATGAGATGTCAGCCATCTTGGATATAATTTTGATCTCATTAATGGTAGTTTCGGTGACGTCACAACAGGGATTAACCATATAAAAGTATTCGTTACTGACCAAATATTGATTGGTAGATGTTTTATACGTTTCAAGTTATATTGATATTTCCAAGAGCATACAGAGTATAATTTCGGGTGCATTAGTGGTTGTCTAGATAAAAATATTGCGTGACCCCTGTTGTGACGTAACATGCATATCTACAAAAATACAAGATGGCGGACATTTCATTTCTTTCGATTAAAATATTTGTAGAAGTAAGCAAGATATGAAAAAACGGTAAAAGAGATTTATATATGGTTTTAAATGTTCTTTGAAACGAGAAAATAAAAAAATATATTGCCATTTCCCTTTAAGAATGGATCACATGTGATGCCTTCAATGGGCATTTTGGGAGAACATTTTAAAACTGTTGGAGTTATTCAATATAAAAACGTTAGTTAGTGAGTTACTGCCGGTGTTGTTTTGGTTTGGCGAACCCTATGGAAAACCTATTTACTGCACATGCTGCAGTGGAAAATCTTCACAAAATGATTGAAAGAATCAGTGTCCAATACGTACGTCAACAAACACAGCGTTGATATAGTCTGAATCTACCACTCCATCGACGTATTGAAGAGGAACACGATTGCCCTCGGCTAAGATGAAAAAATAGTTGAAAAAAGCCAAACATTTTTTTGAGAAACAGCAAGGAATGAAAGGTTTTTGTCAACATTTGTAGCGGATAATGTGAAAATACCTGGGTAGATATCTTCATCACGATTCTTGTCGTAATTTCCCTTCAATAAGGCTGCAGTACATGCATCAGGAGAAAGTTTTGGTGAGATCTCACCCAACCTCTAAGATGATAAAAAGTTATACTTAATTTGGCTGATAGCCATACCTAGTAAGAGCTTGGTCGAGAATGAGATGCATAAATTAATGGGCGGCATAAAATACTGAATAATCGCCAACCTTAAACTTCTCTTGAAATCCAGTCATACCATTGTCTTTAATCTCCCTGAGGGTTTCAAATTCTCTCTGGACTTCAGTGGAATCCACTTCGTTCATGCCACAAAGGATGGTTTCCAAAATGGCTTCGTGGACAAATATATATTGCTCCTGAAATTGAAATACGCAAGTTAGTTGAACAATCAAAAATTAAAAGAATAGTTAAATTTAAGCATTTTTAAAGATTTCAAAAATACCGAAACAAGGTTTCCTGATTTATCCACCTTCAGGAAACATGGCCAAGTAACAATGTTCCCGGGTTTAACCACCTTCAGGAAACATGGTCAAGAAAATGTTCACAGAACAATGTTTCTTACTTTGCCTAAATATAGGGTGTATAAGAACGTTGGTGAAAAAGTTAAATATTCATACCAAAGTTTGCACCATATTCATTCGTCGCTCTCTCATTTCACACACTTGTCCAAAAACATCGATAGAATTGATGACACCTTTCTCAAGTTTATCAAGGATCGTATCTACAGCAAGGAAGACGCCAGTTCTGCCAACACCAGCACTAGAATATTAATAGATAGAATCATAAATTACGATGATAGTCACTTAGTTTGCCTAGGTACTACATTTGCCGTAATATATGTTAATTAATCTCAGCCATGCATTTGTCCTTTAGATTATAAGGTAAGTTGAGGTGTGCTAATCATCTATATTTCCAGCTGAGAGTTAAGCTGAATGACGGAGAGCAACTTGACCGAGTCAAAGGCTCACTATAAGGGCGCCCCTGGCTGCCACTTTATGACTCAGATTTGATCATAGAGCACAGTGACAATGGAAGGTTAGTTTGGGGGTATATTCCAACCGACCCTGTCAACATTCCATGTAGGAGGAAACTGGAATACTTACCCTAAGTGTCGTGAGTCCGCAGTGAGGATCAAACCCACGACCTCAGAAGTGAAAACACCGTACATAATCTGACGAGGCATTATTTGTAGCTCATATACGTGCATTCTTCTTATTTTTTATAACAAAGTAAGGTAATGTTTGGGCCTTTCAGTCTTGCTAACAGTGAAATGTAAAAAAAAACTTCTTGATGCATAAATGGGAAGAAATTGTATATCAGAATCTGACCTGCAGTGCACAACGATTGGTCCAAACTGTTCCATGTGATGTGTTCTGAAATGTCTTCTGAAAGCCAGGAGTTCAGTGGGATATTTAGGGACACCGTGATCAGGCCAAGATTGAAAGTAGTAATGTCGCACTTCACGCTCTTCTCCATCCTAAACAGCGTCATTGAAACAGAGGTAGTTAATTATTCACTGATTTGACACACATTATCTTTATATTGGTAATAATGACCTCCCTCATTCATTGGCTAAGGAATAAACAAATCAAACTCCCAAGTGGTCCACTTCATTCCGAATTTCATTATTGTTAATACAGATGGATACAGCAGTTTCCTGGGTGTGCCGCAACAACGGCTGATTTCCTTTGTGAAGGTGGAATACACCAATTCACGTCCGATTGTATAGAAAACAAAAAGGGATGTAATGGTAGAATATTGAGTAAAGAATCGTTTCAAGCCAACGAAATTTAAAAATTCTGTTACATTATTATTTTACTGCTTTTCAAAACTGTCTTTGGTTACTCTGCCAGAATAAAACAATTTTGCATTTTTCTACCTTTTTAATTTGCAAGGTGTGTATGACATAATAAGCAAACTCTTCAGTATCCTTCAAAGTTACTTCAATATCTCCATACTTTACGTTTCCTTTGTCGGGCCAATATTTCTCACATTTAGGCTAAAACGAACAGATATAGTTGTTTACAATACATTTTACAGTTGCCAAGCAGAGAAAGAGCAGTGAAAACATGCTTACCTTGAAAAGCTCAACAAGGGAAGTCACCATCACAATGGAATAACTGCTTTGTTCCCAAACCATTCGCCACATGTCATTCAAAGTATTTATGGTCGGACCTTTCAAAATGAGGAATATGAAAAAGATCTTTGTTCAAATTTACTGGAAACAACTGCAGTCTATATATATATATATATATATATATATATATATATATATATATATATATATATATATATATATATATATATATATATATATATATATATATATATATATATATATATATATATATATATATATATATATATATACTGTACGGTCTTTTACACTGTACAAACGGCATGTAGTAAAACACTGACTACCGGAACACCGTGCTCACCTTGGCTTGCAATGTATGAATTTTCCTTGATTCCCTAAGTAGAGAATATTCAATAATAAAGGCACATGCACCGGCTTTAAAGCATGTTAGGAGAAGTAACTAGTGAGAAATAGGTGCTATACATGACGAGATTTTTCTGTTATGCAGTGGAGGATTTTCTTGTGAACTCGACTTGACATCCTCCAACTCGACTTGAGGTGAGGTGAGGTAGGGTAAGGGAACCCAACTCGACTTGAGGTAAGTATGCCTCTAATGGACCTCTATGGAGTACACCTTAAATAAAACTGACACAGTTCTACCAAAACCGACTCAAGATTTTATTTCAAGTCATCATTACGTAATGGATTAAGATTAGCCTGATAGAGTTGTTAGAAAGCCGCTAACGAAACACAGGTTGAGAAAAATTAATTAACCAAGAACTCACGTCTATGTAGCTAGCGTTGATGTAATCGTCATTTTCATCTCCTGAGAGAACAACGCGACAATAATCATCTAAAGTTATTAAAAACAATCTCATTTAAGATACTGCAGTGTGCAATAGTGAAAAGTATGTAAAATCGTTTTGTATTGTACATGTTACGATATTTCCATATCTGTTTTTCTGCTGATTAAAAGGTTTCTTAGCCGCTTCCCAAGACGTTTTCATATTTTTCGGTAAGTCCTAAACAGAGAAGTAACAATATAAACATAAATACACAATGGCTCATTTGAAATTTCTTAGTTCAGGGCAACCAGGAATAGTCTCAAACATAATTTTTCTCGCTTCTCTGATAACTCAATGTCCAAAAAGAAATGGCATGCATAACCAAACTAAAGTTGTAATGCGACTCTTTATAGATGATAGACATGTCACAAAAAATAGCTGCAGTCAGAGCTTCCCTTAGAAAGCCTTCAACTCGATCAGGTTGAGACATGCCCTTCGCAATTCAGCTGCAAATAAGGGTGATTACCACTACCCCCACCCATCCCCACCCCTCCCACTCTCCCTACTTACCAAATTCATACTGTCGTCTCTATTTAAAGCCTGGCGATTCGTATTTTTTATACCATAATTTTAGGATCATCTTTGGTCATTAATTGATTTCCAATGAGTGTCTAATACTTACATCATATTGTTTCGTGAATTTGTAATTTTCATTTGCTTTCAGGTCGTTTACATAATGTGAAAATTCTGTAACTGGGATAGGTGGAGGTGCTTTCTCCTCGTCGTCGACTGAAAATTGAAATTTCAAATTTTTGAGATAGTTGCATCGCAGCCCATATATTTTGCGATCTGTCCGCCAATGATCTGAAGAATGTCAAGTGGAGGTATGCGGACCGGGTCAAACACAACTAAACACCGTTTGTAAGTTTAATAGCAGTTATGCTCGTCAGCTCTAAGTCAGTTTCAATTAAATTAAAATATGGTCAAATGTCACTAGGCAATCAACTCCGACCTTCTTTGAACAACATACCAGTTTCGTTCAAGTAAATGCCTTCTTGGTTGGCGCTGTCTTCAATTTCTTTCATCTCGAGATTCTCATCACAGTCTTCCTCCAGGTCAGTTTCTGTGGCTTTGTACCGTCTGTGCGTTCTCATGAGGAAAGAAAAGCGTCAGTTGCAAAACTCTGTACAAAATACAACACCTCTCGACGTTTTCAACAAAGATATTTTCTTGGACGAGTTAGCATGATATATGTAGACCTACTAATACTTGTGATGAAGAGCATTCGTTCGAAACGTCCAGAAGTGTTGCTTTGCAATATGTCTGCTCATTATACTGTATGTACTCAAGAGATGACGTTATCACAATATATTCTTGGTGTAGAAAATAGCAACCGTCCTGTTTCAGAGACTCTCAAAAGAAACGCGAAGGCGGAAGAGCGTTTGATCAAATCAATTGCTAATCTCACTTCCATACTTCAGTAGAGGTTCAGAATCTAAATCTCACATGCGATTGGCTGGTTGTAAAGACATGCCAAACCAGTTTGGGAAAAAAACATACACATAGCGAATTATACTGTAGCATGCCAAATGGACTCAAGTGAGATTCTCAGTCCATTTGACAAGAGATGCAAATGTTATTTCTGCTGGAACTGCAACTCAAACCCGAAAGCGATCGACACATGTTTTGTATGTTAAGCTTGTTTTCAACTTCAAACGTACAAGAAGTACCGTGCATGACGTTTTCTTCTGCGTCAGTGTCATTAATCTGGTCTATTGCTTCCAAAACAAAGAAATACTTTACTGTTAGGATATGTTTGGAATGAAGAACAGGTTTCACACTACCTTCTTCTGAAAAAGATAACAGCGAGAACCACGCCAATGATGATGAAAACGACAGCAACGGAGGAACCCACAACAATACCAATCATTCCGCCATCATCACCTTCCACTATCAAGATGTATTAGAAACGTTTCAAACAAGTACAAATGCGGACTCTCGATTCTAGCGGAAAGTGTCTCTTTCACTTGGTGCTTCTTGTAAAGAGATTCGTAAGATAAGTGTTGCCAACGTATACACTATTTACACATTTACCGAGACATAATATGGACGCTGATGGGCGGTACCATATTGATAGCAGATGCTATTAAAATTACCACTCAAAATATGGCTAAGGAGGAATTTATGTTTTACATGGAACTTGGGTATGTTAATAAATCTATGCGTCTTTCATTAAATTGAACGATTATATGCATGCAGTATTTACACATGCACTGGCCTCGAATACACATATGACATATCAATCGTTCTTATTATATGCTTTGCCTGTAGCATATTTCTACCAAGCTCATGAAGTTGTGTTCTTATTGTGTGTTCCCGGCTTGCATGCGGACAAGCTGTTACAGGCTATACTACTAGCCTTGCTACCAAAGTCGATTCAATTCTGCAAGTTAATCTGATGTCTGTGATGTTGTTATCGCACTGCTTGTTCCCATGCAGCTTGCTTATACTGTACATTTCAAGGAGATAAATCAACTCGTGTTTGATGACAGAATAACATGGACTTTTGCATCCACTTGATTCAAGTCATCTCCTTGAATTATACAGCGTAAAACTGTGAATAACGGGTAGTTGAAAACTTTCTAAAAGGTTCATGAATTGTAAATTTGATCAAAGATCCACGCATGGGAGATCGAAAGTTTTACCAAATAAGTAGAAGTAACGTTGGTGTTTAAACATTACATCAACTATATATGTGTGTTTTTTGGGGCTTAGTAGAGGGGCGCCTTATTCGAGATGGGCGCTTATGAATAGACGATTCACGGTACATCCAAGTTAATTATCGATTTCAGATCACTTTTCAATGCGCATTTCCAACTTTGTTGCGAACATGCCAAATAAATTTCCAAGTTCGAAAATTGGGCGTGAACTTCGCAACGAAGTTCGCAAGTTCTTTTCAATGTTTGAACTTCTAGTGTAACAAATTAACAATAATTAATTCAATGGAAATTTCTTTGTCCAGTGGTCTGTCAAAAAGGTTTGTATTTAATTGAATTGATTATTATTATTGAGATATGAACATTGTTCACAAAACGAAGTTCAAACATTGAAATACACTTGCGAACTTCGTTGCGAAGTTCACGCCCAATTTTCGAACTAGTAAGTTCGAAAAGTGGCTTGAAATCGACAATAACGAATTTTTCTCTTATATTTACCTGCTTCATTGGTCTCACCGAAATGTTTAGAAACTTTATTGCTTCTCTGTGAAGAACCATCTTCAGTCACAATTCCAACAGTATACTCCGTGTACAGTTTAAGTCCTTTGATATCGATTTGAGTTCCTCGAGATATATTCTGGTATTCTGCACCGTTGAGATATACAATGATCTTCATTATATAACTGGAGTCTTTAGGTGCAGGTATTTTCCACGTCACACGTGCCGAATAGTTATATGACATAACTTTAATATTGTATACAGGAGCCGGCGTTTGGACTAAATAAAGAAACACCGCAAATTTAGCACGGTTTAAACATGCTACAGTAGCTTGGTTATGACGCGAGTATATATTAACTCTCAGATTTATTAGTTCCCGGCATAGTCCCAAAAAACTGACCCATTTTTACAAGGCATCCGAAAATCGAATCCAAATCTCAATGCTCGCCTACATTTGCCGCAAACAAACAAGACTAGTCAAAATATTAAGTAAAAATGGGAATTTTCCCTCTTGTCATAGAAAGTTTCTAGCTAGGAAGTCACTTTGAAAACAATTAACAATAGTAAACTACCTTCTCCGCACAGTTCCAATCTAAGACAAAAGTCCTTGTTTTTAGTTCCAGTGGATTGGATCTTTATATATCTCGCATTATAAACTCTACCAAGCTGCGTAATGGATCCCTGATACCCGTTCTTGTTTCCTGTAATCTAAAAAAACACGATTTACATGCGTGTATTAAAGGGGAAGTCAAGTCCATAATGTAAACAAACGGTTTGTTTACATTTTGAACTGCTGTATTTTTTAAACTATGATGTACTGTCGGAATATCTAACAGCATTTTGATTCGCTATGCTTCTAAATGAATATGAAATAAAGTTTATGTTCAGAAAAATTCGAAACATTCGAAATTTGGGCAATTTTCACATTAGAGGTCCTCACATTGTTATGCGCAGAACCGATGCGCAGAACGGACTTGACTTCCCCTTTAAACGTTGCACAACGCTGGGCAACGGAAAACAAACCAAATTATAAATTTTATTTTAATTTGCATGCGACTGCGTCCTTTATGCAGCTAGCAAATTTTCAAATATCTTTACTTTTCATTCCAATGTTAGCTTGTGAAAAGCAATGATCTTAATCGAATCTGCATGTTTTTGAGCAATTATTTATTATTTTAACTGAAACAGTCATGGAATGAAAGGTTTATATGCAAATCATGTGGATGCAACAACTCCGCATTAAATTCTGAGTCCTCTTAAATTTTCTTCATTATAATAATTGAGTTTTACAGACTACTGTTACAGATACCTGAGTTGAACTATTGCTATTGACCAAAGTTTCAGCATGGCTGTATTTCATTGAATACGACTCACTCCATTTTGTTTGTTCTTTATTACCCATAGTCACAACTCGTGTTATGTGATATTCTCTTTGAAGATCGAGCAAAAGATACGAGCCAGACCTCGGAGCACACCAGCCAACTCTAGCAAAACTCGCAGTATAATAATAAGATTTAAAGCCACCACTACCAGAAAATACTTTGTTTACCGGAAACGTTGTTTTGTCATGCAGGAGTAGTGGTTTATCACATATCTTGCCTACAGATCAATAAATAATGAAAGTATATATGTGTAATATTGGCAAAATTTTTAACAAGTATCATCTACATATATCTTATAGATCTTCCTATGTTTATGTACGTCAGGTAAGCCTAATATTGTGCCGGGTATAGTGTCTCAACGCTTTATAACCTTTATTAGGGTGTAAGTAAGTGGGGTGTGCTAATCTGAGAGCTACGCCGAATTTGGATGGGCATGCATGGTACATCTTGATGGAGACGAACATGGGCGTACGGGAA